TGGGGATGTCAATCAGGCCGATCCAAAGCAAAGAGACATAATCAGGACTTTTTGGAGAGATTTCCGATCAATTAGTACATGAACTGGTTTATAGGTAGAAAAACCCTGGATTTTCAACTCAATTTCCAGTTGACGTTGCAAGTTTTTTCTTCCCGGCTTCTCTCCCATATCATTTTATACCTCCCCGCGACCCCTCGGCTCAAGCGCCACACTGGCATTTTGTCGGGAGATCTCTTGTACAACCTGACTATCGGACGGGCAGACCTCAAAGCCATGTCTCTGATGCACCCCTGGAGGGGGAGCTGGTAGGCGGTGAACATGTGTCCTCATCAGATTTTCCCCACTCTCTGTTGCCCAACAGCCACAGTTCTATAACGCTACGTCCTTGCAACAACAAAATTCCAATGCTTGTTGGTTGTCACGGGTTCCATGACAACAGCAAACACATTTGTGATGTGTCATCTTTTGCTATCTTGGAGTGAAATTTGTGCAAACGCTGTTTCGTACTTAGGACCATATGAAGCATTTTGTATGAAGGAGAAAAGTGTATTACAGACGAATGGAAGGTTCGAAATTTGTATCTTGCAAGGATTTGTTCAACACATCATAGCAAGCGGGGAATTGGTATTTGCCTGGCAAACGGAGAGGTTGTTTGCGACCGAACAAGTCGCCGCCAACTGTCAATTTCTCTTTAATTTGACTCCATACTTGTTGTTTGTTATATTCTTGATGACTGAAAGAAGCTAATTTACTGCGAATAAATCTTTCGTTGCCGAAATAACTGAAATGCCATCCTCCACCACACGATACAGCACCATAAACAGATGTTTTTCCTTGACAAATTGCAACCGTTGGACAATCTGCAAGTCGAGAGTAAATTCGAATGCTGACAGATGAGAATCGTGATATCCTTTCCTTATCCAAACTTATGTGTTGCAGGTATGAGCGAATCTTTTTGAAAGGTACTGCCCCGCGATTGGGAGGACGCCAAACGTCAGCAAACGGAGGGAAGTTCATAGAAAAGTACCACAAATCCATGGGAAAGGTACATCCATTTGGATTTAATGCAATTTTACCGCTGCGAATGAACTCAAGAATGGTTCTATTTGGGATTTCGTCACAATCATGTAACATTACAATGTCTTGATCTTTCAAAGAATGAGGGATAGCACGCAAAATGCAATCACGTTGGAATTGCTCTCTTTGCCATGCATCACTGAAATTGAGGTCATGGACGATTGGAAAGTAGATAAGCTTCTCTTCGAACTTCTTGAACAGATGTCTTTTCTCTGGTATTATGAGACTCTTGGACTTTCCCGAGAATGTTGTGGTTGCTTCAACAACAACGTAGTAGTCCACAACATCAAAGAGTTCATGCATGCGAAAGTACAACATAGCGATTTCATTATTGAAAAGGACGCAGTCATAGATCGAGATGTTGGACATTTGTACACCGTTGTGATTGGAAGTTATCCGTATAGGCAACGTGTTGCTGTGAATACTTGTAAACCCAAATGTATTCAATAAACGCATTAACACAAACACAAGTAAAATTGAGAAAGAAGCCTGCAGACATGAACTCCGCATTGCGTTCCGTTGTAAATACTAGCTGTTTGTCCCGGCAATAGATGTGTTTGGAAGAATGTAGTGAAAAAAAAGCCTTGGTACAAATGTTTAGTCAACGCTCAAACGGAAATCTATTTTGGGCAGCCTTCACCAACTTGGTGAAGGAACCCGCCTAGAACCGTAACGGCTCAAGCGCCACACTGGCATTTTGTCGGGAGGCTCATAACCTGTTTCCACGGGCCCGGACGGCCCGCACGGGCCTGGAGCTCGCCGGAGAGGCCCGGAATATGCCCAAAGGATGTCAATCAGGCCGATCCAAAGCAAAGAGACATAATCAGGACTTTTTGGTAGGGTGGGGTGGTTCTTTCATCCCCTGTAGTAAAAATCTCCCGGCCTTTAAAACGGTCTGTGGTCTCTGAAGAGTCACATTGCCACGTTTTTGGTAGCGAGAGTGATGGTTGCTGTTGTGTGCCACCGTGCTAGTCTTCGCCGAGTGTATGGGAAGGGATCTAAGGTTGGTGTTGTTGGGATTAGTTTCAAGAAGGGTGAGTTCAAGAGTGCGTTGAGGAAGTTTGTTGAGAAGGCTCTTGGTGAAGCTGAGGTTGTAGCTGAGGCTGAGGTTGTAGCTGTAGCTAAGGCCGAGGTTTTAGCCCAAGCCCCACCCACGGACTTGAAGTTGCCCGCGACCGAGATGGCAACACAACTCGATTTGCTGCACTGTCAGGATGATACTCCAGTCGGTTATGAGAGCGACGATGGCAGTGTCATCTTTGTTCCCCTGCTTGCCCTGAGCCCGTTTGTGGTTTTCCCCTTGTTTGCGCTGTTCTTTCGAGTGGTGGCCGTATTGGTGGTATATAAGTCGAAACCCAAATCGAACGCAAATGCGGCTGGCTACATTATTGTTGACTCTTGACCTCCTGGTGTTTGGGCTGGGTGGAGTGCAATGCAATGAAACCGACCCCACGCTGCTTGTCAATGCCTCGAACTCCACACTCGCGGAGACATCGGCTGGCTTCGTCCCCGTGACAACGATCCTTGCGACCCCGAGCCCCGGGCAGCTCACGCAGGCTCAGTCCACCGCGAAGGCACCGCCCAAGGACACGACCTACTACTCCCTGATCCGCCTGAACATCGAGGGTGACATACCGGCGGGGACGAGCCTGCAGGACTACCTTAAGAAGCAGATCGAGCTGTACGTCGCGACGTACGGGGCCGAGGTCAGCAGCCTTGTTATCGATTATGTCACCCAGATCCTGACCAACCATGTGGACCCTGGCAGCGGGCTTTCGGGCAACCATCGGAGGCTCATGCAGGCGATCGGGAACGGGACGGACCTCCCCCCGAACACGACGGCGGTGATCGTGGCCCTGCAGTCTCAGTCCTGGACCAACATGCAGGCGGTGACCGCCGGGGTGAACGCGCAGAACCTTGCACGGTCGTCCAACGGGAGAAAGGTCCTCCAGGTCTCGGCCGTGTCGTCTACTGTTTCGTACCCGTCCGGGCCGTTATGAGCCTCCCGACAAAATGCCAGTGTGGCGCTTGAGCCGAGGGGTCGCGGGGAGGTATAAAATGATATGGGAGAGAAGCCGGGAAGAAAAAACTTGCAACGTATTTATACGCATAGGATTTTTTCGAGGTCGAAACTCAACTGGAAATTGAGTTGAAAATCCAGGGTTTTTCTACCTATAAACCAGTTCATGTACTAATTGATCGGAAATCTCTCCAAAAAGTCCTGATTATGTCTCTTTGCTTTGGATTGGCCTGATTAACATCCTTTGGGCATATTCCGGGCCTTTCCGGCGAGCTCCAGGCCCGTGCGGGCCGTCCGGGCCCGTGGAAACAGGTTATGAGCCTCCCGACAAAATGCCAGTGTGGCGCTTGAGCCGAGGGGTCGCGGGGAGGTATAAAATGATATGGGAGAGAAGCCGGGAAGAAAAAACTTGCAACGTATTTATACGTATAGGATTTTTTTCGAGGTCGAAACTCAACTGGAAATTGAGTTGAAAATCCAGGGTTCCGGCGAGCTACAGGCCCGTGCGGGCCGTCCGGACACTTAGCCTCCTGGCGGGCCTCCAGGGGGTCTGAGGCGGGGCTGAAGGCTGCAGTCGGTCTACTGACGGGCCCGGCCGGCAGGATCCGTCGAGAAACAGGGGGGTCAAGGGAGGTTTTCTTCCCCCTGGGAGAAATGTCCTATGGGTTTTTGGATCTGCGATATAAAAAAGTCTTGTCTCGGTCACGTGATGTGTCACGTGACCGGTCAGGTGAGCCTGTCAGCCGGGTCACGGCCCCTGTCAGCCGGCTGACATGTCACGGGCCTGCTGACACGGTCCGCTGACCGGTCACGGCCGCCCGGAGAGATCAGGCCCCCGGCCAATCTCCGGACACTTAGCCTCCTGGCGGGCCTCCAGGGGGTCTGAGGCGGGGCTGAAGGCTGCAGTCGGTCTACTGACGGGCCCGGCCGGCAGGATCCGTCGAGAAACAGGGGGGTCAAGGGAGGTTTTCTTCCCCCTGGGAGAAATGTCCTATGGGTTTTTGGATCTGCGATATAAAAAAGTCTTGTCTCGGTCACGTGATGTGTCACGTGACCGGTCAGGTGAGCCTGTCAGCCGGGTCACGGCCCCTGTCAGCCGGCTGACATGTCACGGGCCTGCTGACACGGTCCGCTGACCGGTCACGGCCGCCCGGAGAGATCAGGCCCCCGGCCAATCTCCGGACACTTAGCCTCCTGGCGGGCCTCCAGGGGGTCTGAGGCGGGGCTGAAGGCTGCAGTCGGTCTACTGACGGGCCCGGCCGGCAGGATCCGTCGAGAAACAGGGGGGTCAAGGGAGGTTTTCTTCCCCCTGGGAGAAATGTCCTATGGGTTTTTTGGGATCTGCGATATAAAAAAAGTCTTGTCTCGGTCACGTGATGTGTCACGTGACCGGTCAGGTGAGCCTGTCAGCCGGGTCACGGCCCCTGTCAGCCGGCTGACATGTCACGGGCCTGCTGACACGGTCCGCTGACCGGTCACGGCCGCCCGGAGAGATCAGGCCCCCGGCCAATCTCCGGACACTTAGCCTCCTGGCGGGCCTCCAGGGGGTCTGAGGCGGGGCTGAAGGCTGCAGTCGGTCTACTGACGGGCCCGGCGGCAGGATCCGTCGAGAAACAGGGGGGTCAAGGGAGGTTTTCTTCCCCCTGGGAGAAATGTCCTATGGGTTTTTGGATCTGCGATATAAAAAAGTCTTGTCTCGGTCACGTGATGTGTCACGTGACCGGTCAGGTGAGCCTGTCAGCCGGGTCACGGCCCCTGTCAGCCGGCTGACATGTCACGGGCCTGCTGACACGGTCCGCTGACCGGTCACGGCCGCCCGGAGAGATCAGGCCCCCGGCCAATCTCCGGACACTTAGCCTCCTGGCGGGCCTCCAGGGGGTCTGAGGCGGGGCTGAAGGCTGCAGTCGGTCTACTGACCGGCCCGGCCGGCAGGATCCGTCGAGAAACAGGGGGGTCAAGGGAGGTTTTCTTCCCCCTGGGAGAAATGTCCTATGGGTTTTTGGATCTGCGATATAAAAAAGTCTTGTCTCGGTCACGTGATGTGTCACGTGACCGGTCAGGTGAGCCTGTCAGCCGGGTCACGGCCCCTGTCAGCCGGCTGACATGTCACGGGCCTGCTGACACGGTCCGCTGACCGGTCACGGCCGCCCGGAGAGATCAGGCCCCCGGCCAATCTCCGGACACTTAGCCTCCTGGCGGGCCTCCAGGGGGTCTGAGGCGGGGCTGAAGGCTGCAGTCGGTCTACTGACCGGCCCGGCCGGCAGGATCCGTCGAGAAACAGGGGGGTCAAGGGAGGTTTTCTTCCCCCTGGGAGAAATGTCCTATGGGTTTTTGGATCTGCGATATAAAAAAGTCTTGTCTCGGTCACGTGATGTGTCACGTGACCGGTCAGGTGACATTCTGGGGTCAAACCGCGTTGGTTCTCGTCCCATATTTTCAAGGGGGTGGTGCATGGGAAAATGGGGGTACTCGGCGTGTGATTCGCGCAGGTTGAAATTCTGTACTGTTGAAATTCAAACTATGTTCAAAACTGTGATTAAAAGTGATTTTGGATGTTTAGCTTATCGTTTCCTGGTACCTTCTAAAATGTTTTAATTCTACACGCCATCACCCACTACCCCAGTGCGTCTTCCCTCGCCATTCTTCTCTCATGTCGCGAAGCTCTTCTCTGCGGATCCTTGTCTTCAGTGTTTGAGTTTTGTGCGAGCATGTTAGCCCAAGTTGCAGTGACTCGCAGCAGGTGACTCTCATCAACATCTCTCTTCGTCAAACCCTCTGCGTCGGTTGGTGAAAATGTTATTATGCCATAATCTGTTTCAAAGTCTGGATCATATTTTTGAACGCATCCATGGAAGGGGACGAGTAAACCACGAACACACACGAGCATGAAGAGACTCTCAAGTATTTTGTGAGAGGAGAAGGTGCAAATGAACTCGTTCCATCACACAGGTATGGAGTTCTTCTGTGGATTGTTCATTTTCTAATCGTTGTGCACAGGTAGCAAAAGCCTGGCGATGTTGAGAACTAGATTCTGCATGCTTGTAGCTGAAGCGTATTACAAAAGTCCAAGACCTTTATTCCATGCAGACTTTCATCTTTATGTGCTGGATGGAATATCATATTTATGAGAGATGCTTCACTGTGCCACATGACTTGTTCAGATCATGTTTGAACTTCTCCGCCTTTGAATGATGCATCTCTTGTTGCATGACTTCAAAACACTTTGTGAAGATGCATAGTCTTGTATATATCCATGTCCACATGCTCAAAGCCTTGCCTCTTTGTGACAAACAAGATTGAAACCTCTTCAAGACAGCAAACTCAACCGCACGGTGTTGGATGGCAGATGTGCTTCCATTCTGTTGTGCGCGCAGTTGGAGAAGTCCCATATGACATTGTGGTTGTCATTATCATTGTCTGGGAGTCCGTGTCAATTTGCTGATAGTTCGACATCCTGAGATAAACGCTTCGAATGAATAATAAATGTCAAATCAGATATCACCTCCAACCTTGATTCTACATTAATGTCAGTCTGGTTGCAACGCACAATGGATTCTTGCATGCCAGCTTACAAGCTTGAGTCTTGATCCCTGATATGATCTGAGGCTTAATTGGACGTCAAAAGCTCCACCATTAGGGAAGCCAAGCAAAGTTGATGTATTTCAGCAAACATGCAAACATGCAAATAACCTGAATGAGGAGAGTTTGAAGAGAGGAGGGAAGAATCAACAAGAGCGTCGTGAGAGTCAAGTAATTGGCATATTTCAAAGAAGCAGAAGTCATCAAAGTTGTTCTGATGATGTGAAGCAACGATGTATCGAAGCGTACAGAAGATTTGCCGTGCCGAGGAGGGAGTCAAGTGAGATGTGATTGCACCTTAATTAAGCGGACTCGTCATTATCTTACAGATTATCTTATTCAGTTCACTTTTCAGATAAAGTACATTACTCTGAGAGCCCAGAAGTCTTGAAGAGAAATTGATGATACGATTGACTTAGTCGTTGGAAATGTAGGATGACGAACTCATGCAGCCTTGATCCACTTCTACAAGATCACCATGTCAGAATATGTGCTGAATTCTTGATGCCAATGGTACCTTGCGATCATCTTCTTACTCGGCGGTTCTTCACCTGTGCTCATGGTGGCAGCTCGCTGACCTTGCTGCTGTGCTCGCCCGGCGGCTCAGCATGACGGCTCGGAGTGCGATTAGACGATGGGAATGATGGGAGCGTTTCCCCACCCTCATTGATAGGGTGGGTCATCAAAATTGTTTTAGATAGTACAAATTAGCAGTTATGAACCGTTACTCAGTACAACTGTTTGTACCACGGATTCGAATAAACAATTCATTGCCGTTAAAACAAATGGACACGCCAGTTCAAAATTTGAAGCACCCCTACCACTGATATTACCGAGCAACACCCCTCAAAAACCATGGGGTACACTACCACCGGTATCCTATGAGAACAGCATACGCATTCCTCTTTTGCGTTAATAAAGACCAACGCGGTTTGACCCCAGAATGTGAGCCTGTCAGCCGGGTCACGGCCCCTGTCAGCCGGCTGACATGTCACGGGCCTGCTGACACGGTCCGCTGACCGGTCACGGCCGCCCGGAGAGATCAGGCCCCCGGCCAATCTCCGGACACTTAGCCTCCTGGCGGGCCTCCAGGGGGTCTGAGGCGGGGCTGAAGGCTGCAGTCGGTCTACTGACCGGCCCGGCCGGCAGGATCCGTCGAGAAACAGGGGGGTCAAGGGAGGTTTTCTTCCCCCTGGGAGAAATGTCCTATGGGTTTTTGGATCTGCGATATAAAAAAGTCTTGTCTCGGTCACGTGATGTGTCACGTGACCGGTCAGGTGAGCCTGTCAGCCGGGTCACGGCCCCTGTCAGCCGGCTGACATGTCACGGGCCTGCTGACACGGTCCCGGCGCTGACCGGTCACGGCCGCCCGGAGAGATCAGGCCCCCGGCCAATCTCCGG